TATATTTTTAATTTTTTCAACAACAAAATTTAGAGAAGACAAACAAAAACTCCTAGCTTTATCAAATAAATTAGTCTCCTATGTCAACCTTTCTACTTTTTAATTAGTATAAAAAAAACTTTTTAGCATAAAGTCATTTGTCGAGGGGTAATAATTCAAACTAGAATGACAATGAAAATGCTATTAATATTACAACTACATCTGAACTGACGTGTCAACATAAGAGGGGGATATGTAATTTATGTTTTATTTAATTATTTACAGATTTTTATCTATACATGGTCTGGCAGTTAAAAAAAAAATCTACGAGAATAAATAAAACCATTGTTGTCTGTTGGGAATGAAAAGGTATAAAAATTTCAACAGAATTGATGTTTTCCAATTTTTGTGCATTACTAAAAATTGCATGTCGTAAAGAAAACGAAATAAAAATGTCAACAATCGGTATTTTTAGCCATTAACTTTGTATACGAGTGTAATATATTGTACTGGTTTTATGAAGGGAAGTATGTGGGAATGAATAAAATATTGAAAATTTTCACACCCTCATGAGTGTGTTAAAACCTTCATTGAGGAAGGCCACAAAAAATTAAAAGCGCGATTTTTTTTCTAAACACTAGTCAGTAATATGTTTAAAGATGATGACTCTTCTTGTCAACATAAAAAAACAAAACAAAAAAAAACTAATTTTCATGTGCAAAACATTTCTGTCCTCCAGCTGAAAGATTTCAACCATTATGATAGCATGATGATACATGTTGATTGAGCTACAAACTATAAGCCTTCATGTACTCAACTACCAACACAACTCCCTAGATAAAACTTCAATTAATTAAAATGCTCAAAAGTCAAGAGATTTTTTTAAGTCAATGATGAGGTAGACATAAAATGCATGATATTCTGATAACAATTGTATCCAATGTCCATAATATATGCCATTATTGTAATATATTTAAAATTAATACAATTGCAAAATAGTTCTGGTCTATTCAGTCATATATTGCAGTTATCTCCTAAGGGAAAACCTTGTCCAGATATCTGAATATCATGATCCAATAACCTATAACAATTAATTGATCTTCACACATAATAATTATTATTTAATAAAACAAAACATCTGACCACTGGGCATCAATATCATACAACAGTTGGTCATAATGACCACAGATGACCAGAGTTATATAATGCAAAATCAATACCTGACCAAAATTATATAACATAAATATCCAATACTAGCTTGGTGCTTATTCTCAGTAATGGAAATGTGAAAATATTGACCAAGAAGAAAAACCGGGGAATAAAATTAATGGTAAGGTAATCTAATCAACAAGAGATGCCGCAATTCTATTTTATTTTTCTCTCTCACTCTCACAAGTCATTTAGCACTGGAGAAGAGAGAGAAAAAATCACCAATAAACAATGTTGTGTAGCGTTATATTTCAATATAATTGATCATTAATTCTACTTTTCAAACACAACTAAAAAATCGTGAATTCAAACAGACCAAAAAAAAAAAACATGTAAATTAACGACCATTGTGAAATCCTGCTAAAAGCGTTCTAATTGTTTCATAATGGAAATTCATCGCAATAAAGAGTTAAATTTCCTTGTTGTTGTTGTTTTGCTGTAATTAAAGTGGGGACATATTTTCTTGTCTTTGTCCGCCATGAGACAAAAATCTTGTCATTGTCACGACATTATTAAGAGGGAAGAAAAAAAACCTGAACTTTTGGCATTTAAAAATGAAACACAAAAATTGGTGAAAAACTGATATAAAATTATCTAAATTTCATACAAAATGAAAAAAAAAGAAGTTTAAATTATCCTGACACAGTGTCAAGTATGCATTATGACATTTTTCTCCTAACTTGTTAAAAGTTCATAACATGGCATTTCTATGCAATTGTGTTGACGTTTGAAGACCAAATTATAAAGAGAAAATTTGCCCTCATTAAAATACAACAGCAACATTTTTTTGAAAAGTAAAATAAACCATAAACTTGAAACAGCATTTTATCTCTTGTGAAAATAATTTTGTTTTACAGACAAGAAAACTTCTGCCAGATAGTTCTCAGACACTTAAGACACTTTTACAAAGTACAAATTTCATAACAAATAATATCTTATTCATTGTTCAATTTTCTAATACCCCAATTACATAGGAAAGTTTCAGATAGAAATGTTTTAAACCATTTCAAGGCTAAATATATTAAATGTGCTAGTCCATATTTAAATCATGACAAAAATGTTCATCATTCTAGTAAGTTAAACTTTAGAAACTAAGTACTAACTGAAAAGCAAACAGTGCAGACCATGATCAGACAGCATAAGTAGCAAGCTGATCTTGGTCTGCACTGGAAGCAAGGGTAGATTCAGTCCCAGCCAGCAGGCTAAGACTTAGTAAGAAACAAGTCGGCAAATGAAAAAGTGTCAGAGTCTCAAACCTTGACCTTCCTCTCCTAGCTTAGTTCCCTTCTTCTTATGGAACAAATACAATCTTTAATGGTGTTTTCTAGCATTTAATAACCAGAAAACATAAAAGTTGTAATATTCTCAGAAAACTAATAAATGTCATAATTTTGAAAAATCTTCTGATGCTGGTGAAGTCATTTGAATAACTAGAATTCATGAGTCAGTAACAATGAAACCATCTCTTGTTTGCAGAAGGCATTTTTAATATGCTGGCATTATTTTTTTTTCCTCATTAGATACCATGATCGTTTTTAAATCATATCATAGAGCCGTATTGTTGTCATTGATCTTAAATGCCTGACCTTCGTACACACTAGCATCTGTCCTCCACTTTGAAGTAAGAGGGGTTTCAAAATGCACCAATCCCAAGAACCCATTTCTATGCTCTTTGAATCGTTTATATGCTCTATGAATCGCAGATATTTTTGTATCATTTCAATCAGTAACCTACGTAACTTTGATTAAACTTTTTTTCATTTAACAAAGTAATGTTATTCATATTTCATTTTTTAGCCCAAGTACAAAGTAGAACTGAGTTTTCCTAATACAGTACATTTTATTTTGAAAAAAAAATTGACACAAAAGGAATCATTAAATAGCTATCAAAAATGGCAAAATTGAAAAAGTTGCAGGCTAGGTTTACACTAACCAAGCTATGTTACAAAAGAAAATTATTATTCTGAAAAAGAAATAAAGTTCATAAAAGTGCCTTTCACATTGGTTTATTCAGATATTAACGCATTTTGTGAAGAAACTATTAAACCATTCTTAGGATTCAGTGTAAACAGGGTCTTAAATCTGTCTTAAGATTTTCATATTTTCTTAAAAATCAATAACTGTAGTTTGTAACAGTACATTAAAGAAAGATCTTCAATAATGAGAATCTGTATTAAAAGGCAGCTGTATATGCTATACGGCTATTAGCCCTCCGCAGATGGTGGCGATATGAAAATTCAAAAATGCAAACGCGTATTATATCCCAATATGCAAGAGTGGGTGCTTTCATTGTTAAAAATTACCGCAAATTACTAGTCTCATGTCAAAGACGTGTGTAACGGCCAATTTTCTTACTTATTTATAACCTTTTGTAATTTTACGATGGCTTTTCTCTGGTTTTTCAGTTTTTCTCCAGTTAATTCATTCAATGGTTTATTGTCTTTGTACAAAATTAGTTTGCTCTATTTTTTTGAGGAAAGTTTGGTACAATAAAGTTTAAAGATCATGAGAAAATTAGATTGAACTTGTAGTCAATGTAAAAAAAAAATAAGGGAAAAAACGTTTTTTGGGGGTTTTCTTTTTTTTGTGTGCCATTAATTGTTATTAGTAAAAATAATCATATTTTGATAATTTGAGGAAAATTTTTTTTCCTGTAAAACAAACTTTTATTTCAGACTTTCTCTTTAATCTGCCATCTCTCCTAATGTTTTGTGTGTATGCACAAAAAAAAAAGGAATTAAACTTGTAAAGATTAGCAAAAAAAAAACCTATAAAACTTTAAACATAGTTGAAATAAATTGTTTAAAGAAAGAAATCAAATGAAAATTTAACCAAAATTGCAAAAAGCTTATATCAAATGTCGATAAAAAATAGGACAATAATCTACGAGAGTATTAAAATTCGGATTTTACGATCTGAACCGAGTTGATAGCACTGAACGCCTGGATTAAAGGATCAAGATTATCTCAATAAATTTCTATGATCAACAGTTGCACTTTTCAAAACATAGGATTAACCTTTTCCAGTTTAATGGTAAATAAATGTCATTTTGAGCAGTTTCGAATGTATACGCTAATCAGAAATTGCCCCAGTGCCGAACCATGGAAATCTGATTTACTATAAACTTAGCAACTTAATATCACATTTATAAAAGTTTACGATGAAGTAAATTATAAAATCATAATTCAGAGGCGAATCTTAAATAAAATCGGATCAAAAGGAATGAAATTGTGAATAATTCATCAGATTGACGAAAAAATTCATTATCAGGTGACGTAGCAACATAAAAAACAAATTAACCTTAACATCGTCCGATTAAATCTTTCTATTTTTCTAATTTTATTGCACGAAAATCTGCGATACACTTTAATTTAATGTAGAAAATATCATGTTTTTCCTAATTTTTATTTCTTGCATAATAAAATAGCGATCTATTAATAGGTTTTGTCTATATAAATGGACTTGAGAACTAATTCTTAATTAAGTTAAAATCAAGATCTATTGAAAATCATTCCACAAGTGTTATAGGCATATAAAGCAGGGGGGAGTATCGTGGAAGAAATTTCAAAAATTCATCAAGACATTTTCAAGCCATGAAAAAAACACATCTGAATAATTGATAAAATGGCATGGTGCAATTCCTACGGACTTTCTGAAACTATAACTTTTACAATACACATTTATCCTCCAATAGTTCTTAACTCGATACAAAGTGTCTTTGACACAATATATATATTAATAAAACATAAATAGATCTATTACTTGAGATATACAATTTTATATGTTTTTATCTTATCAAAACATGTACTTACCACTTCAGTCGCAGTTTATAGATTAAAATCCGCAATATTTTTCACACGTAATTCCAAAAAGTTCCTCTGTGGCAAGCGTTTCACTACAATTAAGAAATCCGTGAAACAAAAATATTGATGACACTAAACAATAGGTTATTATTTCCAATCCTTCTACTATCCAATGGTTCACCAACTTGAAAAGTCTGATATTTTCCTTTTTAAAAATTTATAATTTTCTTTTCAAAATATTCCACCTGTGCAATAGATTCCACGGCTCGGTTGCACCATAGAAATAAATATATTAATGAGTAAAGGGGGGTATCAAAAATGCATCGGGTGATTATCAAAGTTTAATATTCCGTCAGAATAACACACGACAATGTTATCTGGTCATATATCTATCACAAATTATCTCCGTAAAGTAATATACCTGCCTTAGGCCTTCTACTAGCGTAATCTACACTTGCCTGTGACAATCACTTAGTCGTAAAACTATATCCGTTCTCAAATTTCCAACAAACTATTAACACTATCCAACTGAAGAATTTTGTAACAGGCTTAAAAACTGCGAAACACAAAAACTTTAAAATTTCATTCGTTTTTTTTTCCCTCAGCCCGTATTAAATTTGTCACACAATTGACTGTATACAATAATATCGAGATCTGTTTGTTACACACCTAAACTATAAATGTAAATAGTCAGCAAAAGATAAAACACTACAGTATATACTATATGATACACTACCAGTTTTGTTATATTGACTAGTGTACACAAGTCTTTACAGTATAATCACTGGCTCACTTCAATATCCAATACTTGATGCTGATTGGTCAATGCATATCTCATGCTGGTTGCTGATTGGATAACCGACTCCTGCAGAGCAAAAATGACAGGAAAAATATAAATGTAATATGAAACTTTGTGCTGTATTTAAAACACAATCTGAGAAAAATATGGAATAAATAAAACATACTAGTTTTTGCTTATGGCATTTTAATAGTGTAACACTATATGGAGAGAAAATAGAATTTTACACAGCTTAAATAATTGTTATGCCATCCACTTGATTCAGGTTTTAGTGCAACCATCATTTCTGTGCCAGCATGGTCATTTTTTATACAAACCAAGAATGATTTATGCATCTGAATATAATGAGAATAAATTTGGTACACTTGTTTTTCATACAGGCCAGTTTAGTAACTTATATAGAATATATACCAAACTAAATTACCTTTAAACAAATGACCTCTGTCAAGAGTCAGCCTCATCAATCTAGGGTTGTAGGTTTATACACCCATACACCATTGTTTGGATTACCTGTACAAAATATAAACTTTTAAAACAAATAAAATTCAGTCACATGAGAGAATCAATTTATTTTAGTATCAAATTAATAATTTCCTAATCTACACATTAAATGTAGTATTGTTGACAAGTTGACAAGTTGACAAGTTTACTCAGGCTGCTGACACAGAGGTAATGTATAAATGTCACAGGGTGGGAAAAATGTGTAGCCTGACCGGGACTGAAACCAAGGTCCCTTGGAATACCATTCCGCAGCTCTACCCACTAATCTATCAGGCCACTTACAAATATTTCCCCTAAGTAGTGAATACTTGACTGAACCATGACATAAATATTGATCAATAGTCAGAGCTGAACCTGATTCTTGCAAATAACAAATTATCTTAACCGTAAAGGAGCTGCAGCAACAAAATCAGTCCATGAGACCAGTGCAGGTCAAGATCAGCCAGCACATCCATGCCATCTGACCATGGTCCACTATCCAGTTACTACATCATACATGTTTGTGTATTTTGAATTTTTTTTTTTAAATTACGTTTTTGTCCAGACTGAAGACGGACAAGTGCATTTAAGATATTTAGTATGGTAAGGGTTAAATGCTATCAGTCCTATAGATCACTGAATTTGTGTAATCTTCTTGAATGTCCTGTTCTAAATTTACATCTGTTTCAATAGTAATTTTAAGATTTTCAATTTATTACAGATACAACAAAAGTGAGCAACTGGTCAGAATGCTTGTATGAGTACGCTGGCCCCGATTCGAAACTGGCAGCACTGGTCTGTCGCCATCTCTGCTTGTATGTGTAAGAGAGTCCAAACTATTTCACTCTTCAATATATAGTCAATATGTGGTTTTTGATATATAAGTATGGATAAAAAAAAATTCATCATTTGACAGCTCTTGTCAACCATTTTCGAGTTTTGTGTTCAGAACGATGTCCACCTGATGAAGAAATTAAGAAAACATTTTCATTGGTAATCAATCGGAAAATTTAAAGTTATCATGTAAAGATATAGAAATATCTAGCATTTGTCCCAAAAACCTCTCGGCAAATATTTAGCTTAATAGACTACCAATATTTACCTATAACTTTGTTAGGAAAACATCCGAATAAACAAATAAACCTGAATCTAAACTTTTAACTGAGATTTTAAAGATAAATATTGCCCTACAATTGATAACCATTCATTTGGATAACAAGAGATAATGCAATCAATATTTAATAACTGTTAAGCGGAAAATATTACCACTTGTGTAAACATTGATGATTTTATGTTTTAATATTTAAACTGCTGATTTTGCATAATTGATTTGCCCCGCAATAAAATTTCAAACAGCGCATTTCAAAATTAAACAATTTTAATCTCAAAATATACTGAGCTACCAACAGTATAGAGCCTGCTCAGAATGCACCAATGGCCTTGTCTGGTTGGTTGGTGACTGGCCTGGCCTGGCCTCTTTGGTGACTGGCCTGGCCCTACATTGCTGGCAAAGGTTAATCACTTTCCCTTCCTAAAGGTCATGGGTTAAAAGCAAGAAGGCATTTAGACCAATACAGAGGTCAGTAAAACATCAAAGAAGCAATATTATGCACCATTTCAAATCTTACCCATAATGCAAGTTTCACACTGGTTCTTATCCTGAACTTCCTCCTGTCAACCAGAACTGAACACTTTCCCATCTTTTGTTGTTACAAATGTAACCCAGTCTTGTGAAATTCCTTGGAAAGTTAGCATGACCATTTCCCCTCTTGTTCAGATCAGCAGCAAGATCTAAAATTACAGTGCATAATATCCTTTAATCCGGGCATTTTCCCCTCAGATAAACTGCACATCTTTACAAGAAATAAATTCATCACCATCAAAATGATTTTAAATCAGCAGTGTTTTGACTGGGAAGGAATATCAATATAGGGCTAGAAATTATCCCTGTAGAGCCGGCACTTAGTTTCACACCAGGGGCTGCTTAGATCTCCACAGGGGCCTCGACAGGTCCCTTATCACCTTTTGTGATCTCAGATTATAAGGAATAGATCATATCTAGGGCAATAAATTGATGGGATTTGAACGCAGCATGGGAGGGTGTGTTGAGTAAACACAAATGCATGAGAAAAGTTACGTTGGCTGCATTTTTTTGCCAGGCTAAATGCAAAATACACACTGACTCTGTTTGTATAGTGAAAAAAATATGTCTCATCAAAGCCTATATTAATGGTATCTTGTTTATGTAAGTTACACCAGTGCTTATATAAGAGTTTTTACAGAAACTGTATAGGTTTTTGGGTATATATTTACCATGGTTCTCTTCCATAACATTGTTTTCTTCAGTAATCTTTTGGAAGCAAATTCATGGCAATCAATCTACAATAATAAAAATATTCTTTAGATATATATTATATCTTTTGAAAGTGACCCATTAGAATATTAAATCCCGAAGAAAGGTTCACATCTAAAATCAATTATTATATGAAAATTGTTCCAATATGAGCAAGTCAATATAGATAACTCTCTGACATGTGCCAGCAACTGTAAATTTTACAATTGAATCAACCTTGAGTAGTCCCCCTTGGTAAAACTGAAAATCCTCTAATTCACTAATTAAAACATATGTTTGTATAAAAATAATAAAAATATATTGTTGAAATAAAAATATGACAATAAAGATGTGCATTACCATCAGACTTTTTGGCAAATTAAAATGTTATTGGCACTCAATAACGCATAATAAACCAAACGCAATAAATTTGATAGTATATTCCATACAAACATGCTTCCAATTTTAACATTTAGATTTAGACTACTGTACTGCTTATCTGGTCAGATGATCACACAGGAAAAAGGTAAATTCTACTCCCTTTTTAAGGTCAAGTTTCAAGTTGCACCATCACTGTACAGTTCATGTGGTGATTGTCCAGCTTTGCTGGAAGGATAAAAATCTCACAATAGTGCCTCTTTGTGCAATATTTTAGGCATGAGTACAATCACCAAGGTTGTGGAAGGCAACTGGACATCTTCCATACAGAGATAGTATGATAGAAGAATTTTAGCTAAATGCAAGTTGGATGGATTCAACCAGAGACATAGATAACATGTTATCTATGTCTCTGATTTAACTCATTACAGGATTGGAGCAGTACCTCTAGTCATGATCACAAAATACACAAAATTAATATTGTTTGTTTTCGCAGATTATTACATTTTTCATTCATTATCATACACAAATCTATGTGAAAAGAATTAGATCTTTTAAAGTTCATTCTGTTGGGTAAAAAGGCAAGATTTTAGCATTTTATCATTCAAGCGCCTTGTATTTGGTGTGGTTCTCAAATCCTTTTTTTAGTCTCATTCAAATTGGACACATCCCCTACTATTTTGGTGGCAATTAAGTAACACAGCGGTGACAGGTCAAAACAAATGGAGGGCATTACTCTTCTCATTCCCCCCCCCCTCCATCTACACCCCTCAAAACCATGCAATTTGGGTTGGGGGTAGAACTTGTGATGAAGAAGATTTGGATGAAAACATCAAGAAAAGTTCTACAGTCAATTTATACACTTTCAAGGAATTTTTATAGCAACTGACTGAAAATAATCCCTATTAATCGTTATAGTGATTTCACAGCAGGTATTATCAGGGAAAAATGGATAAAATGGTAAAAATATGTAAATGTTTAACACCTAGAAGTATTACAGCACATGACTCAGTACAGAATATTTCAGTAAATACACTTTTTCAACATGTGAATGTTTCTTTCATATGATTATCATTATCACACGGTAAGACATATCTATTATTCAATCTACATGTAAGTGTTGATTATCTCCTCTTATCTCTACATGTATCTAATTATCTCCCTTTTATCACATCAAACGATCCACAAGATGGCCTCCTGAGTGGGGGTCCTTCATTAAATGCACATTCCAAATGTGTGTTGTACATAAATAATGATGCAAGCTGGTTTAACATATGAATACATAAGCATCAAAAGAAATGTATACAACTGTATAAATCTATTTCAAGGTAACTAAGGCTCTTTGAATACTCCAACAAATGTTTTGCTCTTTCATTCACAAGAAGTATCAGGAAACTGAACAAAAAAATAAGTAGAAATAAAGGTATAAATTAATATAATTATACAGATATATAAAATTATCTTAAGAAATTACACTGAATAAGTAATGCAGTTAATAGCATAACCAATACAGTTATCATAACATAAGTAGAAGGCACTGACACTTCCAAAATCATTCATTTATATGTGGACTTTAAAAGTTTACTGAGCATCAGCATGCAAATTTGTTTAACCTCCCACTGATATGGCACTGCTTCTTATTCTAAAGATGTATTAGGTCCTAATTTTGGACAATTAGGAAAATAATAATTGTATGTTTTAAGTTTGGTTTGGTTTTCATGCTGGATTTAAAATATTTTTTATCTCCGCAGTCAGCCCATCTAACCAACTTTCAACTTTACCATCCTAGATAAATAAAAACTTCTATGATTTCAATATCAAAATGCTTAATTAAAATTCAAATAAACAGTAACAAGAACAGGGTACAGGTCAAACTGACGGTAGACTCATCTGGCATTAACCCTTAGCCTGTGGTTACATCTGATTGATGCTACTAGTGCAGACCAAACTCAGCTGACAAATCCTTGTGGTCTGATCATGGTCTGCACTGTTTGCTATTCAGTCAGTAATAATTTTGGAATTTCCCTAAAAATTATGAATGATTTTGTCTTTAATGAAAGATGGACAATTATTTAAGATAATTAGTGTGTTAATTTAATATTTGTGGAACTGAAAAAAACATTTTCTTCAAGTGTAAATTATTTTCAAAATGATCAAAACAAACCCATTTGAACTCACACGCATGTACAAATAAACGTTAATATTTCTTTGTCGCAAACTTGCCATGCTGGTGTGGATAAGTGCCAGTGACAGAAAATTATCATCATTGACAGTATGATTTAAAACTTCAAGCTTTAAAGGCAGGTGTGACTGTGTATATCTATGCAATGAGTTCACTTCTTATATACATTTTCTATGATAGACAAAGGGAGATAATAAACTTTTGAAAAAAAAATTCTGAAGGAATTGTTGCAGATTTTGTCTGTCAGGGTAATATTTGTTAATACTTATAAAAAATAATGATAAATATAATTATTTAACAAATATAGCAATGATTTATTAAAGTTTTTCAAGAAATAATATATCCCAAACTGTGATTTTATAGCTCAATAACATCACTGTTTGGAGTTCGGACGCGAGGAATTATAACTCGAGGAATTATATCACAAGGGCATAGCCTGAGTGATATAATGATGCACATCCGAACGACAAACAGTGATGTTATCAAGTGATAAAATCACCGATTTGGATATATTATTTTGATTTTAACACAACATCAACAAATAAATGCTGCCGTACTTGATACACAGCTAAATTGCGCCCTATTTGTTTCTGTACTTATTTTCAGCTCGTAGCATTTTTAGTGGTTATGTCACATGTATAGTGATTACGTCACATGTCTAAAAATAGAACGTCAAACTGATTTATAGCATAATAACACACACTTTCGGTTCTTCTATGTTCAATGGGGGAAAATGAGGGTCGTGTTAGAATTAATAATAATGCACCATTCAGATGTTACCACAGCCCCCTTCCTGGGGCAGTTAGTTCCTGCATTGCTAGATTAATGTGGAAGGTTTGTTGTTGTTTTGTTGTTGCTGTTTTTGACACCAATATCGTTGGTAATTACAATATGTCAAACTTGTGCTCGAGTATTTACTATCAGAACTTGACAGGCTTTTTATGAGAAATTTGGAAATCAAAAAGGAAAATTCAAGCTATATTTAGCATGTGGCATGATGGTCAGGGTTACAAATTAGTGATTGGTACATAGAGCAAGAGCCACTGCCTAGCAGGGGCCACACTTGACTTTTTCATATTTCTTAGAATAATCCTACAAAAAATAATTTTTTTTGTAACCAATCAAATTAAAATTTAATATTTGACCTTGACAGTCAAGGTCAATTAAAGGTTGTTTAAGGTAACATTTGCATTTATCATCATGTTATGTTTTGTCATATGTGTTCTTTTGTCTAAGAATAAATCAAATCCATAAATAAGTAACACAGTTATGACAACTTAATAATTTTAATAATTGTGCCTTGACAGTAAAGGTCAAATAAATGTCAAGTTCATATCATAATAATTCAACATGTCAGTCTGTTACAAGTGTTTTGTTCAAGGATTTTTTTTGGCTTATTTTATAGCCGTTATTGGGTCATATTCTCAATTGAAAATACTATATTATTTTCCCAATCCACAGGAAAAAATTCCCAATTGAAAATTACAAAATAAAAATATTGAATAAAAATTCTAAAATAAGGGCTTCTTCACTACAATAGTGCTTAAATCTTTGAAGATGCCATCATAGACAGTAATTGTTTGCATCCATTTAATCACTGCTAAATTTCAGTCATGTATTTTTTCCAATTTTTAACAAAACACCGCTGAAATTCCCAATTCCATGGGTATGGGTCGTGTTCCCAAAATCCTGGAAAAAATCCCTGTTGTTGTTTTTTTTTGTCCAAGTATAAATAAAGTTGTCCCAAGGACTGTTGTGCTCATGTATAAAGACAATACATTCATTAATTACAAAGTTACAAAGCCAATTATAGCTGCCCCCCTTTAAGATCAAGGTCATTGATGAGTGTAGGTCATAACCAACTTGGTCTATTTAAAGGCAGTGATTTTCATACTTATATAACAGACTCTGAAAATAGGCCTCTTCCCAATTGAAATTTTCTTTAAAATCATGCAGTTTTCCCAAAAATCTGAACTTAACCACCTTTTTACTTCCCAAATCAGCAATTTTAGCGATAATTTTTCCCAAATAAAGCGGCTAAGGCCTCTTCCCAATTAAGTGAGAAAAATCACTTGAAGGTCTTGTTCACAGGCTTATTGTGTCCAAGTATAAAAATAATCCATTCATAAATAACAAAGTTATAGCCAATTATAGTAAAAATCAGGCAAAATTAATTAAGTTTGTAGAGACTCTAAAATACAGCTTTATTTGGTGACCTTAATTTTAACTCAAACGGTAGACAAAAACCTGTCTCAAGATTTCTGGACAATGGACCTTAAACCCAGACACGTTTCAATAACAGGGATAATCAGCAATATAGCAAAGTGCCTATTGGAAAATGAAGCTAAAAATGGGTTAAAAAAGGACGGTGGCGATCAATGAACGCAACTTATTTAAATCATCATTCACATAAAATATTTACATTGTTGCCATCCCATCAACGTAGAAAAACTCACGCGTTTAAAACAATTAAAATGGGTCAAAATAGAGCCAACAGTTGCACTTCTCACAACCCTTGCAGGACTTGCATGTTCCATAAAATGTTTAAATGATTCTTTCCAACATCCAACCGGAAATGCTGACGAAGCACGTGAGATCTTCGTTTGGCAATGGCGCGTTATTAAGCAAGGGACGCAACTGAAATTACATTCAAGATTTTATCTGAAATAAACGAGATCCGGCAAAGATATATAAAAAGTGTCAGTTCAGTAAACCAATATAGATATATCTGTAGATTATGCACATTGTGGTAAAACAATTGTATGAAAGTTTGATAAACTTGAAAAAGCTGACTTTTAGCTCAAACGCAAAGGAAGAATGAGGATTCTCACCGTTTCAGGGATATATCTAAATCTACATAGAAAGTAGATCTACAAGTGCTATATTTGGTTTTCATATTAGTTCGTATGGAAAAAAAATCCCTTTAACATCACATATGAGTCATTTATTCCATATACAATGTAGATTATTACTCGTGTTCAGATCTAACTTGATATTTATTTTTCTGCGACTTGAAGTTTGATGTTTTTCCAGCATTTTCCTCCTTTCAGAGAGCCCTCATATCATTTTAATGGTATTCAACACAAGTTAATTACTAATGACAAAATTGTCAATTCTGAAACAGAATTTATTAACATTACCCTCAACTTAGATGAAAGAACTAATAAAACAATTATTGATTTAATGGGACAAGTAATGGACTCGATCTTTCACAAATTACCACAAACTAAATGGCTTTAAAATGAGTTTCTGTTTGACATATTCCTAGTTCTGTCATTAGGTGTCAATGCTTCGATTATTTCTACAACGACAAATAATTCCCAAAGCACCCCTGCTGAACTCTAAGACAGAAATGAAGCAAATTAAAACAAAAAGAAGTTATTTTTAGAACCGTGTTTTGTAATTTATATCACAGACTAATGGATTAAGATATTGTCAAATAAAACCATACAATAAAAAAGGTATTGCTCCCTATATAACTTTATCAAGCCTTCATTAAACATTCTTTACGCATCATCAAAGCAAGAAATATGACCACTATAACTCCACTAGCTATGTTGATAAAAATCGAGGTGATCCGTTTTGAACCGCCTGATTTTCATACATTGAATTTGCTTCAGGCTTTCCAATAAAACATATGATACCCAAGAGATATCTTTAATGTTTTCATGTTCAAATCTATGCATTTTGTCTTCAACACAGGCAAGCTCTTTTTCTGTAATATGGGAAAAAGTTACGTTAGGGGATATTCTTTTATGCATTTTATTAAATTTAATTTTATAGCATAAAACAAGTTTTTATCACCTCTCCCATCGCGTATTTGTTATGGAAATAAAGATTGGAGACCTTTACTGATTGATCTGTTTAAAAATATTAGTCATTTTTCAATTTGTATTTCAGCAGAACACAATTTAAAAAGAAAATGTTTTGGCATGTACACTGTTTACTCTTGAGCCAAACTCTTTAAAATAGCTCAACTGAGGATAAAAAGCCTAAAATATAACTTTTATTATTATTATTAATTGTAAGCGTTGCAACGCTTTTCAATTTTGGGTCATTTTGTACAAAAAAAAGATAAAAAAGTGTTATTCTGAAGAAAAAAACACCAGGTGATAGAATGATCTGAAAATTTGCACACAAGTTATTGGTTCAGACCAACATTAAATGGTAGACATATCTCAAACAAAAAGTTTTAGTCTCGCCATGTCATAAAAACCTAAGTTGAATCTCTTTAATGATTCACAATGATTAGATTTTATATTTCACATTGATGTCATTTCATAAATACAAGCTATTAAGTAAAATAGGACACATTTTGAATAGCCCTGTCTTAATATCATAAAAGATTATTTGATATTATATAACTTCTTTATGATGGCTTACCCGGCATACCAAGTATAAATGTCAGTATTTTAACTTGAGCAGATGGCAGTAAGATCACTTCAACTGATTGTGCAAATACAAATCATGGCTGCTCAATTTACCGCTGTTTCAAAATCAAGTTAAATTGCCAATTTATCACGATGTTTATTTAAATAAGAGAATATTTGCAATTTAAGAGCTCGGAACAAGGGTTTTCCGTCAAAGTCAATGTTATTCAATACTAGATAGAGACATATGTTTACATACTCGCCGCCAACTACATTCAAAAGGCAGATTACAAGGGAAAATCCTCACACAGGCTCAACTAAACAAGTCCATCACCCTCTTGAAACATAGAAATGTTTTATTGATGGGTACTTGAGTCGGCTTTATCAAAGCCCGGTCCGGATATGGAACGGTCTTACAGAACAACTTATGTCGACTTTACAGCTTATCAGACTGGTGACACTGGAATGCTTTTTTATGCAAACCGTGACGCAGTCTAATAATGAGTTGGCTTTATAACCTCTTCAGAACAGACATGGTTAATGTAAATATTTTGAGTGCAATGATTTCTTGTTTGTTGTGTAAAACTGTACGGAAAACACCCGAATCAGCGAGTGAAAAACGGAAGTTCATGAAGTAAAATCAGCGCATTTTCTCTTACAAATTGTGTTTGCAAGACGTCCGGTAGAGCGTTGGACTGTGAATTTGGCAACTCGGGTTCGATTTCTGGACCGTGCAAGTCACTTTCGTTGTGATTGACCATGAAGTGGGTTAAAACCCTGTCAGGGGCAAGCCTTTGTTTCATTGAACAAGAAACTTTACTTGTGTTTCCAGCAACGGATTCGAGAATGTTTTTAGCTTCCAACACAATCGAATTAAAATAAATTTGTATCAACTAAACTAAATGTTCTCTACGTCATTCGCACTGTACAGTCTTTGCCAAAGTGAAGGCAGCTAGTACTGATAAACTGCTTGACAGCCTGCCCAGGAATGATGCCATGGCTGAACCGCGCTCTTGTAAATTCAATGTGGATTACTACTGTGATCCGGAGTATGAACTTCTACCACCACTACCAGCACCACTTATTGTATTTCCCAAAATCTGTGCACTGGTCAAAGCACATAGCCATCACATAGATGAAACGTTATATCTTTATACCTAACAATATCATCATTGGTGTCACTTCAAGATTTTATTGATATTGCTTAAATGTGTTAAACTAAGAAACTGTATAAATGCAATTAAAAATCATACCAATTATAAGACAGTTCGGATTTTTTTAAAAGTTTTTATTTTGCAAGATTGAAGTGTCTCTTTCCTCCTTATTTTGGTCATTTTTTTGTAGGCCTAACAGAGAAAATTACTTATATGCTGACCACATTGGTAGATAGACCATTTAACATATTTACCAGGAGGGTTGTAAGAATGAATAAAGTGGATATTTTTTCTCTATAATATGTTGACGGTGATTGCAGTCAATTATTTCATTGCTTTGCGCTGTTTGACCCAAATATTATCTGGAATATTCATTCAGTTCTTTCAGCTTCATCTTTCGATTTCTTATAAAAATGCAATAATATTATATCTTAATATTCTGGAAAATACTACTGTCTATTTTGTCAAAGAGAATTCTGAAAGATATACACTGAACCGACAAAGAGCAGGAACTAACAAAGAGCATAAAACACTTTCGATGGGATAATATTTTATATTAACAGCGTCATTTTTATTTCAAAAGAGAAATGACGGACACCCCTTGTTATAGAAGACACTGATCAAATAGTAAACCCGGTAATTAAGTTTGAATAGAAAGATTATGGCTGACATTTATTTGATTTTAATAGACAGCAAATAAGGGCTAGGATGGTCCTTTTACTGTTCAATTTTTGATCAATAAAGATTGTCGATAAAGTCATTCAGATGCATTTCTGTGATATAAATCTATAATAAAGTGAAACGACTTTCTTTGTCTGACCAATAAGATATTTGAACCACGCTGATCTCAAAAAAATTACAAAATTAAAAAAATATCAATAATTTACGTTATTGCGTTATAACATTATATTGTCTCCCACTTATGATATGAAATTTTCACTCCAAAAGACATCACTTAATTGTTGAATTACAAATTGCTGCTGAAGTGTTTAAATTACTGACCGGAGCTTAAATGACTGAGCTACAGTGTGTTAGTTATACACATGTAATATATAAGTTCTAAATTAAAAGTTAAACGACAAAAATGATTAAAGACATAAAAACAATAAATCAACTAGATGTAATTTACGATGAGATTGTATAATTGATATCACAACCTCCCTCTCTTTCTTCCCCTTTTCCTAGGTGTTGGTCATTTACCGATTCACACAACAGTTGTGGTCAGCAATGGACTATATTCGTAGTTGTTAAAGTGACCATAATCGCCAATATATGGTCACTTTCAAACGGTATCACAAAACCGCGGTTACTTAATTTGTTATACAACGTGTTTATGTGTTCGATGGAAACTTTAAACCCGACAAAAAATCGTCATAAAAATGTCCCCGTTTGTATATTGAATCATAAAATAGATCCAAGATTCAAAGATAGAGATAGATAGATAGACCCTCTTAAGAAAGCCCAAAACGGCAAATTTGAAAATGTTGCAGGCTCAGTTTGATTGAGCCTGTTCATGGACGATACTGGTAAGTGCAAGTTGCCGTCCACGCCCCTTAGCACCGGCTTAAACAGTATCCGACATTTATCGTATGTTCAGTCGGCGGTTACCATGGAACCTTCAATGTGACACGTAAGTGCTATTCCATGAAAGCGGCGTATGGTCCCAAAGTACAACGGGAAATTTTGTGAAATTATACTCTTTAGCATCAGAATCAATAAAAGAAACTAACATAAAGCCCAAATCCATCACGTGCGGTCGGAATCACCTAGACGTTTTTTTTGTCTCCCATATTACAGACGCGTTTTGTCAGAATCGAGACAGCTCGTAATCGTGCTAATCGTCGATTCTTATCCCACAATGCAACATTACCCGTCGAAATTGTATCTGCTTTCACGTTATGAGATTCGGTGCCACTCGGCCTTATTTATTTGCTGCAGACGTGTTGTTTGCTGAAGAATTGACAATCCTCTTAGACAAAACTATCACAAGAACTGTCCAGTTCTCATTTCTAAATGTCATCGGGGATCTACTTCCATATTTGCTTTAGTTAGGCTGAGATGTCTATTATGT